CAGCACCCGCGCCCGCCGCGGGCCCGAACCAATGAATAATGCACGCGGGGGCCCGCCCCGCGGGGGAGGGGGAGGGAAAAGTTGGATGACCTTGGGGGAGGGGCCGACCGAAGCTCAGACCCCCTGGGATCCCGGCTGAGCCTAGCCGGAGAGGGGACCCGCAATCCTTCCACGGGCTGCAAAGAATTTCAGGGACACTGGACTCCTTTCTGCGGAGTCAAAATGTGAGCTTCCATCCCCGCAAAAAAAAAATAAATAATTTTTTTAAAAAGTAGAAGCAGTAACGACAGGAGGTTCCATACCCCCCCAGAAAAGTAGGGGTGGGGAGAACTAGCTTGAGCTGGGAGAGGGGTCTCTGTCTTGAGAGTTCGGAAGAGGCCAGACCTTTGAGCACCCTTCATTGATCTTGAAGAGGACCTAAGTGAATGTGACAAAGGGGTTTGGCTGGGCCGCCTTGGCCGGCCAACCATGTGACTGTGGGGTTTGAGTCGCCACTGCACCTGAGCTCACTGAAGCCAGTCGCTTTCCATTGCCCATGGAAAGTAGAATCGCAAAACAGCTAGGGCATCTCCTGCCACGTTGGGCCTTGCAAAAAATGATCCTGCAAAAACTTTCCCCTGGCTCAGCACAGTAGCGTACACCCCATCCCCCTGATAGGGACAGATTTACAGATTGTAAAGACAGACTGGAGTCTGACTCACCAAGCCCTGCGCCTTTCATCTCTAACCCTTAGCCGTTCCTATCTGCTATCCCACCCTCCAGAATTTTCCCATGAAGCCCCGAAGGCCTCGGTAACTGTCGAGTCTGGTGTAACAGCACCAAGAAGAAAGACTGGAGTCTGAGATGGGACTTCGTAACGGACCTCAGGGAACCCCTTTTCTACTCTGGGGTTTGTCTCCAGGAATTTGAATGTTATCATAAGGCAGTGTGCTTCTGGGGAAATGGAGGAAAACGCCAAAGCAGAACAAGCACTGTAGCTCCCCCGCCCCCACTGCTGCAAAGGTTCAGAGCTGGGACCTGTCTGTTCTGATGTTAGCATGCCCCTCAAACACACACAGGCGGTGCCGAAGAAAGGTTACGCATCAATACTGTCGCTTAGTCCTGAGTCATTTCAGCACCGTTCACAAGGGAAATACCTAGCTGTCCACTATGGGAAAAAGAGAGGAATAGTCCCTATGAGCAGGGAGCATCAGTAAAGCTGGGCAGACAGCCCAAAGGGAGGACTTTCCCAGGGTTACACGGATATATAGACTGGCCAAAGGAAAGGAAAGTGGGCTGTTAGTAGGGGACTTAGTGGGAGAAGTTAGACACTGTCTTAATTACTTTTCGTGTTGCTATGGTAAAATACCCCGGCAGAAACAGCTTAAGGGAGAAAGCATTTATTTGGGCTCACATCCAAGGATAGTCTGTTATGTCAAGGAAGTCCTGGTGATAGGGGCCTCAGGCATCAAGTTGCATCTGACTCTAGAAAGTGGAAAGCGATGGATGCTCACTTTTGACTAGCTTCCTCCTTCTTACACAACCCAGGACCCAAACCTAGGAAATGGCACTACCTTGTATCTTGGCAGATCTACCTACTTCAATTCACCTAATCAAGATAATCCTGCACAGACACACTGAGAGGCTATCTGATCCAAACAGTCCCTCAAAGGTGTGTCTGAGGCATGTCTTCCAAGTGATTCCAAATCTGTCTAATTAACACTCAACAGTAGCCGGCCAAGATATCACTGAAGTTACCACGTATCCAACAGCTAGCAGTGACGTGAGCTACGCATCACCAATCACACACACACATACATACACATACACACACGTGTACACACATATACATACACATGCACACACCTACACACATACACACACACACCTTGGGGAATGGATCTTTCCATTTTCTGAATAGGAAAGCTGAGCCCAGAGGCATTTTCCAATTACCCAAGCTAACCAAGGACCCAGCCAGAAAGGTTACACTCCAGAACTGGCTGCGGGGCTCCAAGGAGGGGAGCAGGTGCCAGGGCTGCACAAAAGCGACCCATCCTCCAATAGCACTGTTCCCTGTTCCTGAAAGGGAACATGAGGCACCTGTCTAGGGCTGGCCCCTCTCTGACAGGCAGCCTTCTTGGTCAACACCACTCCATCACATGCAGCACGAGGCTAATCGTCATTATCACTGTCATTAATGCCTCCAAGTATCTTGGAGTGATTGTATTAGAATTCCTATTCTATCATTGGGAAGCGACATGATGACCAAGGCAACTTATAGAAGAAAGCGTTTATTGGGTGCTTACAGTTTCCCATGGTGAGTCCAAGACCATCACGGCAGGGTGTGTGGCAGCAGCCTAGAAGGCAAGCATGGTGCTGGAGCAGGAACTGAGAGCTTGCATCCTGAAAGGCAACTAGGGGGCAGAGAGAGGGTACTAACGGGGGAAATGGGAAATGGCGCAGGTCTTGAAATCTCAAAGCCCACCCTCAGGGACGCTTCTTCTCCAACATGGCCATACCTCCTATTCCTTCCCAAGCAGTTTCACTTACTGGGGATCCAAACATTCAAGTATGCCGGGGGTGGGGGGAGCTCATTCTTGTTCAGTTCAACCGTCCCATGCTAGAACCAGCTGCAGCCTGTCCGAGTAGAGTGCCGGGGAAGACTAGGGGAGTAGGGCTGGCAGAGCTATTATTTGTTTAGGCTCTGGTAGAGACACTAAGTGAGTGCTTGTAAATTATAAGGCACAGTTTATAAATTAAGACATAAAAATGGAAATGCAGATTACTTTGGTTTGGTTCCAAGATCTTCAGCAGTTTGGGGGAAAAAAGAAAGAAAAGAACGTAATAGACAATCAGAGAGACACAATCTGTTTCCAGGAACTAGTAAGCATTTGTGAGAATGTGCATGTCCTCATTCTGATGGACACTTGTCCCAGTGAGGCTGTGACGGTGAACGCCCAGCCCCGCAGTGCATGAAATGGAGCGACTCCTATGCCTGCCTCTGAGCTGCAACTGTCGGTACCTTACGTTACCACACATGCTTCAAGCCCAGAACTGTGTCCATTCATGCCCCTCCATTCAGCCACCAATCAGCACTGACGGGGAGCTCATAGAAGCTGGTGGCAGTCAGCAATAAAGCCATGCCAAGAGAGACACACTTCCTACCTCTGTTGGAGATAGAGATTAAATAAAGGAACGTACAAAGGAATATGCAATTACAAACGGAGGAAGCGATGGGGGAGATCAAGCTCACAGGTGAAGGAGACAAGGAGAAAGCAGGGGCCAAGGAAGGGGCAGTGCAGGCAGAAAGTACAAGCGCAAAAGTCCAGGACCGAGAGTAGCTGAGAGCTTGGACAAATCACACTCAGCACGCCCCGAGCACTGAGAATGGGAGCGGGGGGGGGGGGGGGGGGGGGGGCGGGCGGGGTGGAGCAAGCGCTGGATGGTAGGAGCAGACAGATCATGCAGGACTCTGCAGGCCAAAACAAGGAGGTTGACTGTCGTTCTAAACACCAGGCTGAACCACAGGACTTGAATCACAGAACTGACCTGATGTCATCATATACTTAGAGTCGATTCTGACCGACAAGCTAGCCCTGGAAAGCAATCATAGCCACTGGGAAGATGGAGACGGCTGAAGTTTCAAGAGACATCCTAAAGGAGGATGTATACCTATAGCAGAAAAGATGGAGACAGCTGAAGTTTCAAGAGACAGCCTAAAGGATGGATCAGCGATGGATCAGCAGAATTCACTGTTGAGGTTAGACCTAGGTGGGAAGTCAAATGAACTGTCTGGGTCACCTCCCAAGGTCTGGCTAGAGTCTGTGGGTATTTGGTGGTGGGGTCTCTTCTGAAGATGATAATGTCTGAAAAAGAAGAGGGCTTGGTGAGTGGTAACAACAGCTGAGTGTCAAGAACATTGAGGTTTAAAGGTCTAAGAGGCACCCAAGAAATGCCCAGGCTGAGTGGGTCTTAGATACCCAGTCATAATGGTTGGGAGAAGACGTGGGCAGTGGTCTTCACATCCTCAAAAAGCTTCTGTTCTTTCTGAGGTTCTCGGTGTTCTGTTGGTTAATTGCATAAACAAGACACATTTCAGACGTACGTTAGAGAGAAGACATCTCTCAGATGTAATTCAGCCAGGAACAATGCATATTACAGAGAACTGTAGAACTAAGAATACTGCAGTCAGGGGAATATTTTTAGATCACAAGTAATCTTCAGATCCTAAACCAACTATAATAAGTCTTGTGAGAATCTCAGTTCTCATATTATTACTTTCCCTCCCCAACTTGCCAACCATAGGCCCACCCGATCTTCCCCACAGAACCACCAGCCTTGGACAGCCACCCAGGCACAAAATGCTCCTGGCTCCCAAACCTTCTGAGAAAGAAGTTGGAGAAAGACGTCGTCCATTCGACCCCCAGAAGCACTTGGTTTGAAGGACTGCCCCTCTACACACAGAGATTTTGCCGATCCCAGTTTGACCACCTCACCCCAGTCTGTTGCTTTTGTGTTTGGCTGCTGATCAAACCAACTCAGAAGCTATTCCTAGCTTCTCTTCACCGCTCTTGTCCAGAATTCAGGGGACCTCCCAGATGGGAACTAGTTCGGAGCTG